GTCTTCTTCTTCTTCGGGCCGAGACGCGCCGTCGTCGCCGCGCGCTGGAGCAACCACGCTAAGAGACGAAGACCGTCAAACAGATTGAAATCAAAAGAAAGTAGGGAGAAAGAGAGAGAAAGAGAAACGGATCCCTATTTTCTGCCGCGAAGTCCGCGCAGGAGAGTGCCGCAGCCAGATCTGAAATGAAAATCTGCGGCTGGCTCGCGGTATAATTCGGCGAAACGAAGGACGAAGAGCGCGAACGGGAACGCCGACAAGCTGATTAAAAAAAGAAGGAGGGAGAGAGAGAGAGAGAGAGAGAGAAAGAGTCGGCCGGGTATGAATATAATCTCCGACAAATATTTAAGTTGCTAACGCTGCGCCGCGAGGTCGCGGTTGTTGACTGCGCGCGTTACCCGATAACGAAGTGACCCTCCCCGAAGCGTGGCTATCTCGCCGGAAATAATGCCACTTCGCGGATTAACCCGTTCAAAACGCCGACTCGAGCTTTTCCACGAAAATCCCCCCCGGCCGGTGGTACATCACGATGAGCCAAGAAGAGCGGGAGGCGCGCGGAAACGACGGCGGGCGAATCCGAATTCTGAATCCACTCGAATTCGTTCGGATGATATCGCGCGCGATTCGATTTTCAGATCCCACGGGATACGCACAGCTCCGTCTGTCGCGGATTCTAATTCACACGAAATAGCCGTGTTACGCGACTATCGGATTATTCGGCTCTTCATTGAGAGAAAAATACACTTGGTATTTGTAACTATAATTCGATAACAATTTTTCGAAGAAGTGTTACTATATTATAAGTGATAATAATGTATTGCATATTGCTGTTATTGTTTTTGCGGTGAAATTAAAAAGGAGGGTGCAATCGAAATCGGAAATAACTATAATTTCTCACGGTACAGTGTACACCGAGGTACATCGGGACATCGTGATTTGCAAATTTTCGCGTCAGACTTCGCAATCCGAGAGAGGCGGCACAGTTAATTGTAAAAATATATCTAGAGGGCCGCCAGCTCATGGTGGTATTTATTGCATCGGCTTTCTGCTGTGACAACAAAAGATCGTGTATCATCTTCCGCGGGCGAAAAATATTTTTGCCGTTATCAGATAAAACCCAAGCGGCGAAAAAATACGAGAGAAAGGAGGGCTTTAGCCAGCGCGAATCTGCCGGGTAAGCGCTTTTTCCCCGACACCCCGGCAAAGCGAAGAGCTGCGGCGGAGTTCTCGGTTATGTAGAAACATTTTATATAATCCCGTGCCGCATCGGTGAAGAGAATCTCTAAAAATCCCGTCGCGCACGCTTCCTAAGAATTGTATTCTTATTCTGGCCGATCGGGAACGTCAGCGATTTCGTCCACGGCTATTTCTGTCACTGACCGACTTTGCAAAAAATCCTCTCGCGATTTCTCATGCAGCGTCGTGTGAGAAAGCCGATGCGGTTACGACGAAAAGTTAGTGCAGCTAATGTCGAATAATTGCTGAATATTGCAATTTATCTCACAAATAAGAATAATGTGTATATATATATGATTCTATTTTTAAAAAATGACGAAGTTATTCCTCAAAAAGTCACGCACCCGCTTACGGGTTGAATAGTGGTAGTACGATTTTAGCAACTTTCCTCCGTCTCGAGATTCCTCATTGGTAATTCAAAATCAGAAAGAATTCGCGAAGTCAGTATAGAAACAAACTTTCGATTCGGGCGCACTTCTCACATTCCCTCGTAATTACGTCAATCAGCGTAACGTCGTTCGAAACACCAGCAATAATATTTCAAGAAGAATGCTTTAAGAACGAAGCGCGATTTGCCAGTCGGCGGGGTTCGAGGAGGTAACGCAAGCCTCGGGGAATACCTTCGGATGCGCACACACCATCTTCGATTGATCCTTGATCATAACAAGGTATCGCACGCACGCACGCACGTGAGCGCAGCGGAGATTAGGCGCGCACCTAATCTCCGCGCTGAACGGTCGCCGGGTCGCCGAAGCGTCGCGGCGCCGCGCGTACGGACCGGCCGTGCGATATTGCGCTAAACCGAGCAATTACCGGCCGTAATCCCGGTAATAGAATTCCAATATGCGTGCCAATTGGACCGAGGCCCCGTGTGCGGGCGTGTGCAGGCCGCGCAGCTCGTGCACGCCCGACGAAACGCCGTGACACGGTTCGGCCATTAGCCACGGCCTCGGTTATCCGTGGGCACTCGGTGCACGTACGCAGCGGACGCGTGCACGCATGTGCACGTGGCGACACACGAGAGAGAGAGAGAGAAGAGTTCCCGTGCATATCGCGCATACGTGCGCGGCAAGCCGCAATAAGGGAGCCGAAGGGGACGGCGTGTTATCCGACCCCTTTCTCCGCAGCAGGAATATCTTTCGGGTTGCACGTATACGCCACGTGACCTGGTCACGGTCATCATTGTTAGTATAGCGCCGAAATTTGCTGACTCGATGTGATTAGCAAGTATCGAGTATGCGACACCCGTGCGCGAATAACGTACGGGGCGAAGGCGAGATGTAGGAGGAAAAGGGGGTAGATATATTTCTCTCTCTCTCTCTCTCTTTCTCTCTCAGATATAAATGAATACATATATATATCTAAGATATATATATATATATATATATATATATATATATATGTATCCATCTATATCTGATACCTGGATGATGGTGTATGGAACGGACTATTGGAATCGGCACAATACCGGCGAGATATTCAATTTTCGACGTAGAATACGGGATTCGGTGTGCGAGCCGCTGCAGACACGTAAAAATACGTAACTTCGCGCGTCAATCGTCGCGTTTCATTACACGCCTGTAGCGCCCGTAGCGTTGACAGCCAAATTCGAGTGAATTATATCGCGATTCGTGAAACGGCGGGAGCACCTCCGCCGATGGGACGCGCGTTTTTTTCGCAATAGATACAATATTGTCAAATAGGTTGAAAGAGTGTGTACGTACGCTGGGCTTTTTTTTTTTTAAATAGAGATGTGCAGAAATGAACAGAAAAAAAGTGAAGCTGCCCGAACAAAAATGCGGAGCGTTCAGCGATATGAGCTCGTTTAAATTTGAAATATCGTGTAACCCCCTGTTATTGTTCGTCACGAGCAAGCACGCTGACTCTCGCTTCTCTCTCTCTTACACGTGCAAATTCACAAGTTTGTAGTTACGTAATTATTTCTATATAGAGTTTTCACGTCTCACCTAGAGTTCTCCTAAGACCAATTTCTAATGAAGATGCAATCGATAACGTAATCGTTGCATCACGCATATGTATAAAAAATACCTCTCTTATAATTTGTTTGCTTTTGTTACGATAAATCATTTTCACTTTGAAAATTTCGTCATTTCCAAGGAAAAAATGAACGTGAAAGGGTTAAAGGTTATCACACTTTTATATTTCTTCAGGCAAATTGGCGCTTAAATCTACGCTATAGATCTGTAACCGTGAGTAAACGCAATCGGTCGGAATACCGGCCGCATACATCCAGGTTTTAGGAATACACAAAGCTACTTACGTAATTTTAAAGCTGCAGAGCGCGGCGAGAACGGGAAGCCGGGAGCAGGAAGGATCGGACGAGGAGTTGAACACGGGAACAACTCTGTCTGGAACTTCTCACACGAGGACATGGAAAATGATGAAGGTGGACGATGCCTCGTCATCGACATTCGGGAGTTCAAGAGAGAGCTTCGACACTGCGGTCGGGAGAGGACGCGGAATTTCACTGTGGGGAGAAAAACAGAGAAACCTAATCAAAATTACAGCTATATTATTCAACAATGTAATCACGCATTGCACAATGTAAAATGCAAAACACGCACAACTCCTTCTCGCTCACACCGCGCGTACGGAACAAAATCATCGAAGAGTCGCGTCGTTTTCCCGCAGTTTTCGGGCAAACGTCAGCGATACATGACGAGTAACCAACACGAGTCGCAAAAGGTCTGCTTAGGATTGTCGGTTTATTTGTTACTTTTCTTTTTTTCTCCCCGGATCCCCGTGGACATTTTCCGGGAGAGCTCGAAAATCGCGCACATCGTCGGCGAGGCTATTTTTCGCGCGAGACTTTCGAATTTGAGGAAAACACCGCTCAGTGCCTTTATCTTATCGCGATGGAGACGCGTCGTCTTCCCGCGCGCCAGTTAACGAAACAAAAGACCGAAATTTCGCAATCGGTGTACGTACGTGTATGTGTGTGTGTGTGTGTGTGTGTGGGTAAGGCCGGAGTATTCCACGAGAGGATATACGAGGAGAGCTCGGGCGAGAGAGGATCCCTCGCCGTTAATTGGACCCGATGATGCCGCCGTGCGAATTGTCGGCCACGAAATTACCCCGATATCTTCTCTCGTCGTCGTCGTTTCGAGGCCGCGTACAAATCGGACGGGACGCGACACGGATTTTCTTTTCCCCCGTAGCCCCCGTCGACGACCCTGGAGTAAGTCCAATTACCTTGGGCGAGACTCGGGACCCGGCGTTTCCGCGTCGTCGCGAAAGCGGCGGGAATAAGACGCGAAAAATAATCAAATCGAGATCGCCCTCGAGGCGCGACTCCCCTTCTCTCTTCTCGCAAACCGACACCGCGCCAGCTGAGAGCGTCGCACGTCCTACGCAAATTATCGATTTTATTGGAATGCGAGATAAATTTCACGCCGATTCATTGCGCGATTACATTTAACTGCCTCCAATTAAATCGCCGTTCCAATTAAAATCGAACGCGAACTGCGGAGAGTTCATTACC